CAAATGAAAGGAAGTGGGAGACAAGCCAGCCGGGAACCCGACCACAACCCACGACCACAATCCAGCCTGGGAGACAAATGAAAAGAACTGGGAGACAAATGAAAGGAAGTGGGAGACAAGCCGGCCGGGAACCCGACCAGACCATCCAGCACCAAGGCGACCATTCTTTAAAGCATTGAGAACCCCTAACAGTAAACTGTTTGGGGAAAAAGTTGAGCTGGAGACGTCAATGAGCCAAGTGACGTCATGATCTATGTAGATTTGCTGAATGGCAATGTAGGAGAAGGGGATCCCGAAGAACAACGTACAAGTCCACCAATACTCGGGGAACGTCGCCAGGGCGCCACAGTAAGCGACTACCATGAGAACTTGCGCAACGAAAATGGCTGTCAGGACGTTCCACATGTACATCATCTGCTCCTTGGCGTGTAATTAGAATAGAAACATCTCCAGAACGCACACGATGGAGATTCGGCGTGCGCAGCAAACTGAAAGCAAAGAAAGAAAGCTAGAAAGAAAGAAAGAAACAAAAAAACAAAGAAACCAAGGAAGCAAGATAGAAAGAAAGACAGAAAGAAAGAACACTTCTGATTTGCAATTCCAGGACTCTGGAGTGATCTTCGTGAACAGAAAGGCCAAGTTCTGGGGCATCGGATCTGGCTTGTTGGCCGTTGGGAACAAACGGTTGGTCTTCAAGCTCCTGTTCGCATCGTTCTTTTGGACCGTCAGCATCTTATCCTGGCTCTGCGCAACACCTGCAGCGTTGGGGTCAGCCTCACCCGGAAGCAAGTTCTTCATCGCAGCAATCTCGTGGTCATGGGCGTACTTCTTCCTAAGCTCCGATAAGTATTCGTCCGCTCCGTAGAAGATCGAGGCCTTCGAGTGGCCCTTCTTACCCTGATTGCCCAAAAGAGGTGCATTTGTCGCCATGACGTGCAGCGGAAAGCCGGCAACGAAAATCAAAGCGACGCTCTGGCGGAGGAAATAATAACGTACTGAATATCTTCGAGCCAAGGTCATGGAAACTACCCAGCTAAGGTCCTGGTCATGGGCGCCTCAAATTAGAGATCTCCCAAGGGCTTTCAAGCACCTAGTTACTTTGCTTCTCCCAGGGCGTTCGATTCAATGGGGTTGCCAATTCCTTGCCTTCATCAACACATCAAATCGACAAGCGGCCTCATTTTGGCAGATGTCGACGATGCCCTGGCAAAACGGTCGCATCACCAAACAACTCGAGAGAGGGGGTGGCAGGGAATCAGAAGTAACCCTGGAGGAGGTCAGGGCCCCCCCTGTTGAACAGAAGGCAAAGCACCAAGAACTGAGTGTGAGATATTATTGCGAAATGAGGGGAACTGAGGTAGGTCAAGTTACTTGGCGTGAAAGAAAAACTAATGCACAAACGTCTTTTTCGCATCAGCACTGCTCGGAGTTTGCGCTGGTCGGTGCCTCCAAAGCCCGAAAAAAAAATGATAAAAAACTTTCCAACTAAACACCTCAGAACCATCGGTTTTTACGAGTTGCTTGGCCGAACTGCCACAAAAAACCCTGTAAATAGCGTGGTTTGAGGCCACTCTTGAAGACTGGAGGAGCTGAAAACACTAGTATGTACTGTGTTTGTGGCCACTTTGAAGCGTACATAGCTTAAAACCATCGCAATTTACAGGGCTTTGTGCCGGGAAGGCGCACAATCCTGTGTAAATACCATTGCTTTGTGCCATTTTTGAAGCCTCCAAACGCCGAAAAAACCCTTTCCGACAAAATCTTTCCAGGTGTTTTGCAATTTTTCGACCATTTTTGAAGCCTAGACACTTCAAAAACCATCGGTTTTTATGAGGTTTTTGGCCGGACAGCCACAGAAAACCCTGTAAATAGCGTGGTTTGAAGCCACTCTTGCAGACTGGAGGAGCTGACAACACTGGTATTTACGGTGTTTTGTAGCCCTTGACAAAGACCCGCGCCAGGGTGGAGTTGAAAGAAGGGGTGGGGGGGGCCCCGGCCTCTAAAATTGAATGTCGGAGGCGATTTCTCAGTGAGATGGGCATCCACTCTGGTTATAATTCATGTTTGCTAAAGCAAAAGGAAAACTCAGGTAGCGTAACCGCTACCTTTCGTGACATGCAAATGCCAAACGAAAGTTGGAGGCGTGAAACGTTGGCTGAAGCCGCCTGCTTACCGTATATGACTATGACTCTGCGAGAAGACTTGACTGTTCAACTCTTCAAACCTTGGAGATGCTCCTGCCTTTCCGACATATCCAACAAAGGAGGTATCTGCGCCCAGGTCAATGCCAATGACGGCACTTTTCGTCACCATCGCCTGAATGTTGCTCTCACAGGACCTAACTGGGCCTTCGATTGAAACGACCTCAGAAGCTGTTCTTGCATTTTCCCAAGGGTTTGCTGGTGGCTTCTGGCTACTAGTAGCGATGGCCTCCAACCCAATAGCGATGGCCTCCACCGTGCGTAGCTCCTTGTTACTAGTAGCTTTAGTTTCTTCCCATGTTTTGCACCTTGAAGGCGCCCTGGGCGGATCAACGCGCCACCTCAGAGTGTCGAATCTGAGGTGATGGTGTCGAAACAGAATGTGGGGCGCTTGGCAACTAAAACATCCAGGAATCCACCTACAGGTGGACCGAACACCCCTCCCTGTCATCTTCTCTCCCTTCTTTCACTTGCCAAGCGGCTTGCGGCCGTGTTTTTCTTGCACAAAAAGAACACACAACTTGAGCCAATCCACAGAGCCGCAGAGCCACAAAGTGACCACTCAGAGTGCAAGGTTGGTGGTGCGATCATGCGCCGGTGAGGACTGGGTGCAAAACATCACATCCTTAGTATCCTTGGAGTCCTTGGACATGGTTACACGTCCAAAATTGCTGAAAATGCCGTCCTGGAGTCTGAAATCCGCACAAGGCTCCCTGCGAGGCGTACTTTGGCCGGCCTCAGGCTTCAAAGCGCATTCTCTTCCAGAAAGGAGTATATATATATATATATATAGTCTGTATTTGCGACTGTCGCCACATAACCTGCAACTGAACCTGTAAGGATTCGCCATACCAAAGCAGCTGCAAGGCCCTGCTTTGGCACACCTTGGCATTGAGCATCCACTGCCGCTTGCGAGAAGGCACCATGGCGATTCTTTCTTCAAAGGTCAAATTTGCTGAATCAATGTCTGATTATATCACAAAGAGAGAATCCACAAACTAGGGGATCCCCAACTGCAAACCCTCTCCAAACGGATGAGCTCACTGATTCTTCTCATCAAAACCAAACTCGAGAGAAAACCTGCCGAGTTTCGTCTTCAGCTTATATAATTACTTCACCGCCTATTAGCCCGGACAACACGTTTCGTTCCACGTAGCTCTGGAGGGATTGGACGTCAACCCTACCACCCACGTTTGAGATATCTGACTCCGGAGATGCAAATGTGGTGCAGAAAATCAAATGCCATTTGGAGTAGACAAATTTGTGGAGCACTGTCGCAACCAGGTCACAAGGAATGTCTCAATCATGTCTGAGTAAATCAGCTTGCCTTGACTCTGTGGTCTGTTTTTCCAGAGCCACGATGCCGTTGAAAGCTGCAAATCAGAAAGTGAAGTAGCTCAAAACCGAAGCAGCTTGCAATGTTGCGATTTGCCAATGTGCACCTCAGAACCTGAGAGAAGTGTACCCCAACCTGGGGCTCAAAAGAAATATGTATGAGGGCAGACTCTAGACACAACAACAAAGTCAGGAGATGCACTAGCCACCGCAGGTCCTTTGTTGTAACTGAGATCGAATGCAATCTTTTGTACAAATGCTTCTATTCTTCGCGACTGCTTGGCAGGCGCAAACCATGCCGCCAAAGGCTGCATCTCAAACATAAACAATTTGGAGGCCCTCGATGGGGGCGCGACAAATGTGGCACGGCTGTGCCATGTCCACAAGGCGAGTTGTACCTCGAGAAAGACACAAAATCTTGTGATGTTTTATCTTGTAAGCTAGCTTCAAATAACTCTGAACTCCAGCTGGCTGACTTGTATCCAAGGAATTCAAGCAAGTCAGCCAATGAATCCGAGAAACTGCTCAGCACTTTTCCTTGGAACAAACTGATTGGGGCACAATCCCTGCAGGCTGTATGGCCACACCGTTGAAGCGCCACCCGGACCACAACCTTCGAAGAAAGAGCAAAATTTTATGATCCAGTACATGATACATGACTTTAAATAACCACCTCAAAGAAGACAACGAAGAAGAAGAAGAAGCAGAAGTGGAAGAAGGAGCAGGAGGAAAAGAAAAAGCAAACCAAGAAGAAGAAGAAGAAGTAGAAGTAGAAGTAGACGTAGACGTAGAAGTGAAAACAAGCATGTCTTCATAGTTCATCCCTGTCCATCTCCATCTTGCTTCGTTCCATGTGCACCTCGCTCTGGCAAATGGTGCAAGGCGATGTAGATGGATTCTCACATCCTCCCCAGTTGCTAAATGCGAAACGATGCTTGCAAGGAGAGCTTCCCAGACCATCAAAGGCGTCTTCCAATACAACCTCATTGGTACAAGAGCAGCTTCTCGGTCCTTGAACTGGGACCATTGGGATTTGGGCCTTAGCTCTGAAGAAAAGAAGCTCCAAATGATTGGGCCTTCATTGCCCCAGTGGCCCACAAGTGTTTGTTCTCACTGGGTCAAGCCATTTGCATCGAAGAGTGGACTTTCGAACCGTTCCCTCTGCATGAAGAATGCTGAAGAGGGTTGAGTGCAAACTATTGATTGATTGGCATCACATGACTAAGTCATACTAAGTCGACCAAACTAAGTTAAACTCCCCCAGTTAGCCCCAAAATTGATAAAAGAAAATCCACTGAAGTACCTCTTGCAAGGGTGTCGATGGGGTGACCATGATAGAACTAGCAGATGCCCTTTGAGGTCAAAACAGTAAAGTCTTCAAAATGCATCCAAAAACGGGAAAAAAGATGACTGAAAAAGAAAAAGAACCTGCGATCATTCCGGGAAGTCCATGACAGTCCTTCTCTTTCGGAACCGAGGACCCCCTCTGAGCTCCCAGGCCAACTGGCTTCGCAGCTCCGAGGTCCTCGCACGGGCCTCACGCCGCTGCGGAGGTTCCTGGCGGCCACGGAGGTTCCGAGGTCGAGGACGAAGCGAAGGACGGACGAAACGAGACAGCAGTGAAGTTGCTTAAGGTTGAAGTGGTTTCATTTCGATTGACCGCAACGAGCTGCTCCTTTTGATGCTCAAACCGCCCCATATGAAGAAGTCGCTTTTAGGTCGGCGCAGGCGCAGGTTGATTTCATGACGCTTTGGAACTGACGTTTGGCACCTCGGCTCTGGTGAAAAGACGTCTCCGAAAGCCACCTGAGATGGTTTCGCCCGTTCGCCCCGTTCGACTGTTGGGTGCAAGACGACAGCAAACCAACTGGCACGGTTTGGCACCTCCCGAGCACTGCTTCAGAAGGCACAATAAGAAGAGCAAGGAAAACCTCAGCACGGGCAATAAGTTCAAGCAAAGTTGGATTCTGAAGGCCTGCAAAGATTGCGAAGTCGGTAAAAGAAGTAAAAACAAACTGTGTAAATGATGCACCAAACATCGCCAACTGTGTAAATCCACTCAAAGGAGCACTATCACGATGATCATCTGCCCTCCAGCACCCAGGCCGTCTACGTCTATCAAGGCAACTAAGCCTTCCAGCTTGCTTGTGTCCAAAAAGGAACGAGAGAGGATTCAAAATCCGTTTTTGCAATGTGCTTTGTATGTCTTGTGTTGGGAAAAATGATGATAAAAGCACAGTATAATACATGGGTCAAAACCGTTGGAAAGAGTGCAGCATCACAAGCAGCAGAAACTAAAAGAAACAGAGCAACATCGCCACATGAAGGAAGTAGCCAACGGGTAAGTCGGCGGCTACCGACACACTTGTACATGCTGCTTCATCACACTCCAAGAGAAGGACAAAACTGAACATGCGGCTCTATGTCTATGTGTTGGGCGGAAGAATCGCAATATCGCAGTGAACCTGACCTAACACTGAAGAATATATAAATGTTGCGTGTAGTGTCTGAGACTGTCTGTATTGAGGTCGCAAGAATTGTTGTATCTACGCTGAAACAAACACACAAAAAGATGCAAAACGGGGCTCCCAAATACAAATTGCTCTCTGCCTTTGTAGGTGCAGTGAAAGCTGCCATCTTGTCCAAAGTCACCTAGACAACAAGGAAAATCATCCTCACCGCTTGGAACAACCACAAACGGCTGCTGAATTGGCCTGCGGAAGACCAGCAAATGAAAACACCGTGGCACTCCCCTGCGCAGAGGGCAGGGTCATCTGTACACACATGTTATTCAAAGCCATGCAGTTCAAATCTCTTGCATCTGAACATTAAGTCTGTCGAAAAGGAACCTGTCTCTGAGCCACTTTTGCCGTTCTTGTGATTCTGTTGCTTTTTGAAAGGCCCTTGATTCCCTGCTGTCGCCTGCACAGTCCATCGCAATCTCCACGTCTTGTGCCCCGATTGCCAGATCATGCACTGGGTAGCGCGCGGAGTGCATGTAATTGAGCAGTTGCACCTCCAGCAAAATGCTGAGACAACAAGAAATGTCATGAAACAAGCCATGTGTTCAAGAAAAAAAGCAACACAGCACCTGCCGACCGATCTTCCCCTGGGCACTTCCCTACCGTCGAGCAAGAAGCCAGCCCCCGCCACGCCTGCAGCTTCACCGCGTTGTTCACCACGAGGAGAAAGCCCTGCGACACGAAGACCGAGACCTCTCCCGGCTCCACGCCCAGAGACTCCCTGCGTTCCAGGCGCCGGCCCTGCGAGGGTTCGGTCCATCGGTCGGTCCGTCGGTCCCACAAAGGGTGGTTTGAAAGAAGGTCGTTGCCACACATCTTTGCAGCTCTTCGACGGCATACAGCTTTCACACGAGCTTTCAAAGTCATGCTGCATGCTGCACAAGTCTGGGCCAGAAATATCAAGAAATCAACTACAGTCGATGGTCTCCATGACCTTTGGACCTGTTGAACAGCAGAGCCAAAGGGTTGGAGCGTCTCAGGAGCTGCTTATCCTTGCCTTCAGCAAGCTTGGAGGTGTTCCACTCGGGCTCGGTGTGTATCTCCACTGGACCGTGCCGTTCTTCTCCACCCACAAGGTCACCACCTGGCGAAATGGCCGGGGTGGATGCCAAAATCACCGAAACTCGGATACCAGCCCACACGGAGGCCTCTTTGCCAGTGCAATCCATGGCAGCCTAGGTCAGAAACGCGCTTTAGAAAGCAAAAGCTCCTCAATCCACAGTATTTGACCAAAACAAAGATGCAAACCTACTGTACTGAGAAAGAATGTTATAAAAATCTTCGGGCATAGACCCTGGACACACAAAGAGTAGGCAGTAGCATACAGCAAGACTATAAAACTTCTTTGGGGATCAAGTTTGTCAACACAGAACCCACCCTTTTGTAAAAACGGGTCTAAACGGACCACTCAATCAGCCAAGCATGTAGGCTTGAATCCCAACCGCATGAATGGGCAAATGGATGCAAATGGACAGCACACACGACTGGCAGTCCTAGTTATCCACTTCCCAAATGAAGCGTGATACGCCAGCTCAAAACCTACAAGTAGAGCTCTATGTGCATGTCTCGAAATCGTCTTTAGGATGCAAAACAGAGAAGACACCCCATTTTCTGCGGTTTCAGCTGAGGTCGCGCCGGCCGCATCTGCCGTCACGGACGGTAACGAACGCATCGGTGTTCGCACGCACCCTGGGGGCACCCGACGGTGATCACCTCGTCGTGAAAGTCCACCGTGGCTCAGCAAGGCTTCAGTGCCGAAGAATGGTGCACAGCGACCGTGATCAAGCAGGTAGACAGCAGGTGCAAAGCTCAAATGCTCAATTCATGTCTTGAAAACATGAGGGCAGCTGAGACTGCGGCGTCCAGAACTCAGGGAGTCGTGGCCCAAGAAATTCAAATAAGGTCCATCATTGAACAAGGCCCAAAGGCCATCACACCTGGCTTCACTGTTGCAATTGGCTCATTGATGTCAATGTCTCAGTTCTCTCTCAAACAGGTCCATGTCTAAAGCCACGTACAACACATGTGAGGCTGAGCTCTGCATGTGTGCCACAAGATTTGGCCCAGCAAAGTTCGGCCGTGGCACCAAAGCATCTGTGGAAGCCAGTGGGAAGGCATCGTAATGTTCCGGTGCCTTGGAGCAAGGGACAAGTGTATTCAATGGAACATACTGCAAGCAACGGAAAAATTACTATCGATAAATTGCGTCGACAGCCTCTCACCCACCCTGGGCTTTGTCACATGGCCTTCAAAGCAGATTCTCTGCCAAGGTGCAAATCAAGCTTCGAGCTACAGTCCAGCTGTCCGCAGCTCACGCAGCATCGCCGGATTTCCGTGACCCAGCCATCCTGACGAGCCCAGGATGGCAGGTGAAGTAGCATGTGAAGCATGGCATGTACCGCCCTTCAAATGACCAGAAAAAGCCGAGATACCACACTCCCACACTCGATATACAGATCATGCGGGATCTCCCGCAAAGGTCTCTCACTCTCCCTGCGCTTTGTACAAGGCCTGTGCAGTGCAAGTACTTTTCGGTTGGTCGTTACTTCCCGTTTGTTTAAATATTAGACTATATAGTTGAAAAGTCGCAAGCATGACCACCACGTCCTGCCAGGTACTCCAGGAAATGGCAACACCGCAGTCCGTCTCAGCTAAAGCCACCGAAGGAGCTACAGACCATGTGGAGTTGAGTTGCACCGGTCCTGGGGAGAGAAATAAGTAAAAACTGGGACAATGGTGTTCAAACAAAGTTGACAACGACCTCTGGTGTAAAGATGTAGGATTGGTTTTCTAGATGCTTGGGGTGAAGGTGGTCTTCTAGTGACCCCAAGTTACATTAGTCCCCCGCACAAATGCGAGCATTTGCGGTTGTTCAGCCAAATTCCCTTGTTTTGAGAACACAACCAAAATGTTCCTGAAGGAGCCGTCAAGACTCCCAAATCCCCAAGTTTCAGGAAGATGCTGCCCTGGTCTTTCCAGGCCACCGCCAATCCCTTCGTCGTCGCCAGCGAAGCCGCCAGGCCGTTGCCGGGGAAGGCCAGGCTTGCCGAACGATTGAGCAAGCTGGGTGCGCTCTGGTGGCAGCCGTCACGGCTGATGTCCTGGACGTACAGCGCGTCCTGGAAATTGATTCATGCAGAGCAATCCAAATGTAAAGCTATCACTTGTCTCCAAACCATGAAACAGCTCAAATCACTTTTGTTTCACCCAATTATGTTCACCCACCAAGAAGACACATCCGATGTAAAGTCCTTCTCTTGCCAGGCCAGGTGCAGTCCAGCTTCATCCGTGCTTGGGATCGCACGGTCTGTGCTTTGCGGGCGGGAAAAACTGAAAGAACAGTCCCCGGCTGCAGCGAGTTTCAAAAGAAAAAGAAGCCGCCTCGCCATAGCAATAAAACGTTCAGGCACTAATGTAGTCCTTAAAGGGTTCAAAAGTGCTAAATGTACGGGACATAATCAATGCCTTGAGCGCGGTTTCCAAGTGTGTAGCAGCGAATACTCTTCATTGTAAAATGCCCAAATATGGTTGCGCCACCCTATAGTTTGGTTCGTTCTGTGATTTGTCAGGCTTAGTGATTCGGGGCTATCATTCAATTTCAAAATATATGTGTATATATATATATGTGTAAAAACATTGGCAGCCGACTCCGATCGGCTACGCACGGGCTTCTGTTTCTCCGATGGCCTGGGCCTAGAGTCCCTGCGTCCATGATACGATGTCCCAACCTGATGGGACATCCTGAGATCACGAGTGTCGTTTCAACACCGATCTTCAACTCTTAAAAGAGCGAACATGGCCGGTACCCGGAATCTTGGGTCCCTGGTTCTCACCAGAAGTGGCCTCAAACAGCTGGATATACTTGCAGAAATCCTTTAAGGAATCCACCAGCTGTGTTGCCATGGGACTTACACCGCTTCACATAATTGGCCTTTCGGCCCTCTGTACTGCTGATCAAATCAAAATAAGAAACATTCTGATGGTTGTATTGGCCGAAACTCACAATGGTCCGACCCCATTGTGAAAGGCTAGTGATGCCTTCCGGGAATTCGCTTTCCAGCTTGGGAGATGGCAGATCTGGCTTGTGAGAAGGAAATGGTGTCGGCTTCACGCCTGGAGCCACATAAGAACCGCCCTCATAGCCGGGAATGTCGCCCTCCCGCTGAATCGGATAGCCAGCATGGGCATCAGAGGAAGTCGCATCGGCTGGACCGTAAGCGGTCTTGAAGGAACGCTTGGAGTTCTTGGATTCTCCTTCACACATCTCACGACGCTTCGCGGCATCGGTCATTGCACCTCCGCTGGAGACCACAAAGAAATCATTCTCTGAGGCTGGAGGACTTTGGCAGCTGACTTGCACTGCGTGGTGAAGTTCTTCCGACTTCACACCGCTGGCATGAGCCTTCTTGAGAAGCTCCAACAGCTGTTGCTGGTCCTCCGAGGACAGGGACATGTTCACTCTTTCAGACAGACACAAAAGCGTCAGCCTTTGAGCAGCAACAGAAAAAGGACTGCAGGAACATAGCATTAACGAAAAGTGATACAACAAAATTTACAGCGACAAGACTGCAAGAGGTTTCTGCACAAACGCTAGAAACTCAACCCAAAAGAGTACTCACTTGTGAACCCCTGAACCTCTAACTAAGCAGCGAGCTCACTGTGCATTGGCCCCGATGGGGCTATGTGACCCTGCTGCGCTTCGACCCGACTTTTCTGACGACGTTCTCGTTCGGCAGCCTGCTGGGCTAGTACATAGCTCCCAGGCGAGATCTGGTACGTTGACGTTCTGATGCACGAACGGAGAAGGTCTATTGGGTCCTGTTTATCTTTTGTTAAACCATCGGCAATCATACCGTCGGTTGGAAGCCAACGAACATGTGCCTTAGTTAACTTCAAGGATTCCCTAATGATCACTATATCGATACTAGTCCTGCGATCTTCAACTGCTGTCGGAGATGAAGGGGAAACTAGATGATCAAACAGGGACTTGCAGTCTGTGGCCAGTAGGGGTGCTCTACGTGACAGCATCTCACGTCCGGCTCGTGGTTCAAAAGAGCCGTCTAGCGCCTCGCACAAGAGCAAACTGACCCACTCTACTGAGCCACTTGCACATGCCATAGCTTGACTCTCCGCCGATAAGGTGGAGCTGACTGCACGGGGAAGTTTGTAGCTCTTCCAAAGCAGTGGCGTCCAAGGGGCAACCAAACCTTGATTCAAAGTTTCATCTGTAAAAGCTAAGATGAAGCCTGCTTGTGTGTGGTGTCCCAAGTTCGCCCATGCAGCATCACTGTGGCAGCAGATTCGGAGATACTCCGGTTTGATGCTTTGAAAGGAAATTTCTAAGTCTTTATGTTGCTTCGCCCTACGCACGGCATTGTTAGCATCTATGGGATTGGGAAACGCTTGTTGTGACATGCTTGTCTGGGCAGCCAAGTCTGGCCTGGACTGTGATGCCAACCAATTGAGGCTTCCGTTGATTGCTCTGAGGACTTTGACTTGACCATCGTGGAGCTTGGTTTCACTATTAGCACCCTTTGGAATGTTTGCGGACGGAGCGATTCGGCAAACAACTTCTGAGACATGCGAATACCCTTAGTAGTTCTATTTTGCCGATAGTAGCTACCGCAAAACTCTCCCTCGCCCACGCGCCACTTCCGATATGGAAACCTGGCTTTGAGGTGTCGAATGGCTTCATCAAAACGGGGGCCCGATCCACCTACGGCTGTATCGTCAACGTGAACACCCATGATCCCTTCCAACTGGTTGCTATTGGGGCTACGAAGATAGTACAGGCAGGGATCAAAAATAGACTGCTGCCAACCCGCTGAAGATGCCTCAGTGTGGAAAGTGCGAAACCAACTTGCTGGGCCGTCATTCTGCCCGTAGACATTTCCAACAATCTCCAACACCGCATCTTCCGGAACTCCAGGGATGCCTCCTGCAGGTTGAGAGGCATAGAGCGGCCGGAACTTATCCTCCAGAGGTCCGGCCTCCATGAAGGCTCCTTTTATATCTCCCAGCTGCAAGTCCCAGCCAAAGGAACAGATCAACTGCATGAGGAGCATACGAGAGATCTGACTTAAGGTGGGAGACTTGAGGAGGCCTTCCTGGGCCTTAGCATCTAAGTCGGGGTCCAAGTGACCTTGAAGGCACCAACGACTTTTTGATACGGTATGTGGATGGATCGCTGATGTCAATGTGTAGATTCTCCTCCGACGGTTTTCGTATGATGACAAACCGGCTTCCCATAAAACGGTGGGCATATTTTGCACGGATCAGTGCAGCTTTCTTCCCATAGTGAACCACTACCGCTTTCTTTTCAATGAGAGTTTTCCATTCCGCAATCTTTGACTCATCAACCAACCTTTGCAACCGGGGATCAGCATTTGTATGAGGAATCTCTTTACTTAGTTTCTTTTGGAGGTATGCAGCCATGAGCACCTCTATTGGTTGGTCGGGAGACCACTCATTCCAGACCTCTGAACGGAACTCTTCCAAAAAGAGGCACTCGTCGTCTTGATCGGTCGAGGTGCGCATGCGAGTGGCAGGTGGTTCTTCGCTGGTTGGCTCTTCATGCTCTCGCTTCAGGGACACATTGGAGGTTGGCTCACTGGTATCCATGTTTAATGGATCAGCCAATAGATGAGGAACCATCTCTCGCATCATCTCAGTGAAGTCCTCTTCCCTCATAGCTGGTGGACGGTACAGAGCTGCCTCACCGGCCTTCTGTGAGACACGACGGCGCACAGGGCCGTACACTGGTTCGGCTGAGGGAGCTCTGGCACTGGAACTGGATCCACCTTGAGAGAAGCGAGGAAACTCCTCTTCATCATCAAGTCTTTCTTGATGTTGGTCTGGACTGGTCTTGTTGTCGGGTGGAACCGCTTCCATGGGAACAGCGGTTTCTTCCCCGCTCACTGCTGGCACGGGTGGTCTCTCTGCTGGAACGTCGGGCATTGGAGGAGCAGGCTCACTTGGTCTGATATTGCTTTGTGTTTGTGACGAAGTCGAGTCTGCTTGCACTGTGGGGTAATGTTCCGGAACCAAGTCCACAAACTGGTGACTCTTAAAAGTACCTCCTTCCAACAGATCTTTAATACCGAGTAGTTCAGCTTGGGGTGATTGAAGTACTGCCTTCTCTTCGGATGTAGCTTCTCTGAGTTGTTCTGGCGCTACCCGGAAAATCTGTTTGCGGTGGGCGATGACATAGTTCCGGCCTACCCTTCCCATAAGCACAGCTGCACCAAACCAGTGTCCTCCCAGAAGTACATGACCCTTTTCAGACCCCCTTGGTATTTTTGCTCTCTCCAGTAGGCCACAAGCTCCAGCTTGGAAAGACGAGGTCACGCGAGGTCTTGCTGCTAGAGCTGGACTGGTCACTCTGGAGGTCAATCACAGCTTTGCACGCCGTGGTTCTGATCTCCTGGGCCTTTCGGATCGCTTCGTCTGTCAACCCAAGAGTTGCCGGGACCACATGTAGGGGTTCATCCAAAAGTTCTGTAGGTACATCAGGATTGCGCCCAAATACAAACTGAAAAGGAGTAAACCCGTGGTTCTGAATCATGGTGTTCTTGACGTGTGCTTGTGTGACCAATTGTTCCCAATCGCTCTTGCTCTCCGGACTGTGCTCTTGCACCAGCTTTGACAGAACGTTGCCAAACGTTGCCAATGAGCTTCAGCCGCTATTGGTTTACAATGAATACCCAAAGAATCCAAAAGGCTTTGCGTGGGTTCTCCTAGATTGGTGCGAGCCGGATCCATCATAACCACTTTGGGAGGACCAAAAAACACGAATCCAGTGTTGTTCAAACAATTGTCGAAGAACCTGAGAAGTCTCTTGCTCATAAAAAGGAAGAACTAGCTGGTAGTTGCTGGCGTGATCAACTAGATTCAAAGCCTTGATCGTTTGGTTGGGTTTCCATCCCCTGAGATGCTTCACATCCATCCCCACCACACGATTAAACACTGTGGGGTGGCTGGTCTGCCCCGGCAGTGGGGTATGCGGTTTCCCTTGGGAAAGGCAAAAATCACAGCTGAAGTAGGCGGGTCAATCAAGTGGTGTGAGCTGGCGGGCCAGCTTGATAGCCTTTTCGGAAGCCTGAGCATGCTTTAGCAGTCGGACGAGATCGGCCTGTGATGGATGGCCTAGGTTCTTATGAAGTCGGGTCAAGGCCTTACGAACAGCCTCGTCGTCATCCTGGGCCAAATCGTCCTGTACCATCATTACTTGACGTTCATGGTCGAGTGTCCATGGAACACACACAGGCATGACCTGTTTTGCCAAGGCGCGATACTTCTCCACAGTGTTCATGACAGCCAGCGCGAACGCTGGGGTGTACTTCCCAGTGAACGTACTTACACGACCAACTGAGGGGTGTGACCCAGCTACAGGAAAATGGCAACGGTGTTGAGGGTGATGAGATCCGGGACACCTCTTTTCTAGAGTGGACATGGAGGCATGACTAACCAGAAGCCTAGTTGGCTTTTGGATGAGTCGGTCTGTGTCAGGCAGCCGGAGTCCATATCTACATAAGTCACACTCCAAAGGAAAATACTCTGCCGAAAGTACTTGCATCTCTGGATATGACCAAATCCTAGACCCTCTGGGATGCTCGAATAAGGCCTGTCGTCCGGCTTCAGCCTGCTGGCGGAACAACTCACAGCAGAAACGGACGAAGATCCGGCTCATCCGGACCCGGTGTGCCACTTCCTGCGGTGTCATATTGAGCGAATTGATATTGAACCAGCCTCCTTCGTCGGTACAGGGCGGACACAGAACCAAGAGATCGGGAGGTGTCTCGCGGAGTTCCCTGGACACTTGATCGCGTACAGAAGCCTGGGACATGTCATATCCAGTCAACAAGTCATATGAAACACATTCACCTCCCATTCCAGTGACCAACGGTGCAAATCTTGGGGGGGCAAAAAACTTCAGCTACACGAAGAACTGAGTAATCCGCCGGAGTGCCATGCTCTGGAGGTTGTTTCATCTGAACATCTAAATCTCTCAGTTGCGACTTCAGTTGTCGAACGTAATGCACTGGGAGACAATCAAGCGTGGAAGCAAGCTCCTGTGGTCGAAACCAAAACTCGGTACGAGTGTGTAGAACCTGGTAAGGCAACACATGATGATAGTATGACTTACCTTTTTGTGGCTCGATCATTTCATCAAACAAAACAGCATTCGTCGTTTCATCGACAATTCGGCGACGGGTCACGGTTTGCCATTGTGGGCCTTGTTTCCCTATGGTGGGTGTCTTTTGCAAAAAGGAATCATGTCTTACCCAGTACTGAAGTGACTCCGAGTCGCCTGGCAAGGAATGGTCGATCGACGACTCCTGTTCGACCTTGGAAGAGCCAGCTGGCCGGTCCTTTGAGACCGGCGAGGGCATGGATCCTGAGTTGTCAGTGAAGGTGCTGCACATCACTTCTTGCTCAAAGTTGACTTGATCACTGGAGCCAACCACTTTGACTGCAAATTGACCGGCCTCATTGGTCACCAAGGGGACCAACACTTGCTCTTCAAACAATGTCAACTGCTGCTTGCCAAAATCAATGACTGCCTTCAATGTCTGTAAAGCATTGCGTGAGATGAGGAAGGGAGCTTGTCCCCTCACGATGGCGGTGCGGATGGTGCCCTGTTTGCCTCCCAGAGTGACTGGAAGACGAATCACTGACTCGGTGGTCTCCTTCTCGCCATTCCCGAAGCGAAAATGATTCACCTCGTGGATCTCCGTGGGGATTGGAACACCGGCGGCGCGCCACAACTGATGAAACTCTGTCAATGTATCGCGACCAATGACTGATCTCCCACGTCCGGAGTCCAAAACTCCAAAGCCAGGTGAACTGACCAGAAGAACTTCTGGATGAGGCAACTCATCAGGCAGCATACCCATGAGGCGTCGCTTCTCACGGAGGATGGACAACGGCGACAAAGGGCACGGGCAAACGCCCGCCATGGCCACAAAGTCTAACCCAGCTTGGGGTTCTTCGTACTCCTGCTCAAGCTCGGCGGCCTCTGAGACAAATGCAGCACCAGTTTCCTTCTTCGCATAACCACTGGACGAAGAACTGCGACCAGCACCTGGAGGAGTTGTCCGAGGCTGAGTACATTCTTTCGACCAATGTCCAACCATGCCACAACGATGACATTTGGTCTTGCGCTTCAACTCAGCAATCTCCACTCGGTAGCTGCGTTTGAGGTCTGTCGCGGAAGGCACCGAAGGCTTCCCCCGGCTCTGGAGGCCTGGCTTGCAGCTCCAAACTTGCGGGACCGCTGGAGTTTTCCAAGCTCCTTCCTGCGATCCTTCCATGAAATGGCCAAAGCTTCAGCCACCGTGAAGATCTCCTCAGGCTCATGGTCATCTGGCTGAAGGTCGTGGTCGGCCAGAAAAGCCTCAACTTCGTGAGCCAGGTCAGAATCTTCGTCCGGACTGAGACCTTCGGGCGCAGTGTTACCAAAGTCCCCTTCTACAATGCTAGCCCCCAAGTGTTTCTTCTTCACGACAAACTCGGGGTAACACGAGCGCATGGAGCGACCAATTTCTTCCCGCTTCAAGACTCCCAAGGATCTGGCCAGAACCACTGCTTTCTGCTCCTCTGATAGGCCAAATCTGTTGAGAATCAGCCATCCGCGAGCCTCTTCAGGAAAGGAAACATTGGTTTTCCTTTCACACTTTTCAAACAGCTCGCTGGCACGTGAAATCCAGGTCTTCAAGTTCTCTCCGTCATGAGCTCGAAGGTTGAAGATCTCGGTCAATGACTCGCTCATTTCATCGCTAGCATCCTTCTGGGGAAAGCGCTTGTCGAGGCGCTCCAGCAACACACGTTCTCCACCTTCTTTCTGGTAGCTAGCTGGGTCAAGGTGTTCCACACACTCCAATGCCTTCCCCGACAAAAGAGTATATATGTAGGCACCTCGTGCCTTGGGCGCCACCTTGTCTTCAAGGGTCAGGAGTCTGTTCATGACCCACTGTTTCCAGCGTTTGTATTCCCGAGCGTCCTCTGATTCGCCCGAGAAGTATTGAAGGCCATGAGCGCCTTCAGAACTCGCCGCCATGGCGATCACGAGTGTCGCACTCCAATCCTATGGAGCGGGAGCCCAGGACTTAACCTGGGCTCCGCTACCAATGTAAAAACATTGGCAGCCGACTCCGATCGGCTACGCACGGGCTTCTGTTTCTCCGATGGCCTGGGCCTAGAGTCCCTGCATGATACGATGTCTCAACCTGATGGGACATCCTGAGATCACGAGTGTCGTTTCAACATATATATAACCTGAAATGAAAAGCGGGGACTTGTCTCAAAAATGCAGCTGCATCTATGCATCGTGCAAGCACTCTGTCCAACTAGCTTGCAATCTCGGTTCCAAGAAATGTTTGAAAAGGTAGAAAATGAATCTGTGCTTGTTTGCCCTTCATTTGGGTTTGTAAAGAGCACTCTTCAAACGAGCACCACCCCTGTGTACTCTTGTCCTGCATACCATTGAGCCAAATCACCCTTGTCTCCCCTCAACACCAGTTTTGCTTGCTTGATTGCTTGCACAAATCCGAAATTCAATCATGTAGAAGGCCTGTCTTGCCTTCAATGACTGGCATTGACGACCCTTAGCCTGCCAATTGAACACAACGTCACCACTGCAAAAAAGTAGAACCGCGTGTGATCCTACAACATGCATCTGGCTAACGGGCAACCTGTTCTGACAGAAAGCAACTGTGATCTCTGTCTACAGGTCTAACGGAAGCGCACAATCTTCACCCTTTTTTGGAAGTATCAACGGCGCGGGGTCGTTGGCAGTGCAGATTGTTCACCTGGCTGGTGCGCCGGGCTCAGAAAGACTTTCTTTGCTAGATTCATTCTAAGGCGAACCTTTGGCAAACCTTCTTACCTTCTTTCATCTGAAGCAGTCTCCATCAAGGATGGTCGGACAACTTTGACCGTGAGCAGCGCATATATATATATATACATATATATACATATACGTCGTTGAAAAACCGTTTAAGCCCTCAGCTCTCTTGCCCAAAACGTTTTTGTCCCTACTGCCCTGACTGAATGTAAACAGCACAAGCACAAACAATCAGCACGCAGACTTTTGTCTACCATTGAAGCAAGGCAAGGTCTGAGTCCAAGTCACTCCTGCGTCCCATTTAATGGAGTCGCACAACACTTGACAGGCTTCCCAAAACGGTGTTTTCTGCCAATTGGATGTACACCTCAGAGTCCTTGAGGCGGCCGTTCACTGAAGTTGTAGAAGGCGTAACTTGTGTAATCTCCACAACCATGCCTGCATCCTTCTCAATTTGACGTCCTGCGGAGGCGCCCCCGGAGGCGCTGCAGTAGACAAACTGAGATTCTGGAGCTTCGTAACTGTAGTGACCCAACCTTTTTTCATCCTTAGCGGGACCATTTTCTTCGATGGCATGAGCATGGAAAAAGCCGAAGGCATAGTCCCAAATATTGCTCCGATTGATCTGCACCCATTTGCCTTCCGCAAGCTTGCCCCAAGATGAGCCTACTTTTGTCAATCTGACGACTTGCCCCTGAAGGATGCGCTCTCCCATGCGCTTCTTCAGCTTGTATTTTCCAGGCTCGAAGGTCTGCACAGTCCTCTCAGGCTTGTAGTAACGAAGCAGAACTACTTGCACACAGAAGACCAGAGTGCCACTGAGGAAGCCAAGATGCTGTCGGGTCTGCCAGCCAAAAATCCCATCTTCAAAGAAACCCTTTTGCTGTTCGAACAAAAGCATCCATACCCAGATCCAAAACCACAAGGAGAGCAAAGACTCCAAGTAGTGCATAACCAGCTCTAGCATAGTACTATCAGCAATCAAGGCAACCCCTCCAAACAAAAGGATGACAAGGGCAAGGCAAGGTCTTGGAGTTCACCGAAGCCAAAGGCTATCTTGCCCAGTTCATGCACAGAGCAACAGAACCACCCCAGGACGCAACCAAGATGTACAGTCCAGGCGGAAAGATAGAATTTCTCGCCCCATGACATGTCCCGTTTCGCTTCTTCTGCTCCGTAGTAGTTGTCTTTGTCGATTCCAGAATCCAAGATCTTCCTGGCCCTGCAACCTGTTGGAATGCTGATGAAGAAAGAGCTGACGACACTGATCAAAAGTGTCAGTGTTGTGCTGACCGGCAGCGAGGGTGTGCGGATCAAAGCACACGCAGCTACAATGGCCGACATCGTTCCTTCATAGCGACCCTCTCGGTCTTGGTGTTCAAGCATGCCACGCGTCGAATAACCTTGATGAATAGATCGTTGAAGCTCCTTCACCATCCCTCGCTGAAAGGGATCTCGATCGTGGAACCAGCTTGGCAACAAGGTTGCAGCAAGCATGCCGAAACCGTAGTAAGGTTGGCCCTGCGCCAAAAGGCTGACACCGGAGTAGATGTCCATAAAGGGTTCAAATTGGCTCAGTACAAGGTCCGATATCAATTTCAACTTCTCGGCAGCTCTGTCATTCTTGCTGGCACTGCGAAAAGCCATCTCGGTGATGCCCCAAGGAAGCTTGGCATTTAAATATGGGCCCCTCTCGCTGAATTCTGTGGTTGAGGGAGTTCCATTAGTCGTGCCGTTGTTCTCGTCCGGGTTTGCCTTCGAGGGGTCCGAGGGAGTCTCTTTCTGGCCACACGAGCGAATCAATTGATAGGCACAAGCTGCAATCACCGCAGTCCAAATCACTCCACCCCAGTTGAGCAAGGAGAAAGCCGCCCAAGCCTCTGCTTTGAAGCACCCCATGACGTCCATGCGAGCAGCAGACGGTAGAAGAAGACCCGTCATATGACACCATTCCACACACTCGTTGCCATCAGTTTCATTTTTGACAACATCTTCTGCGTGAATCCGGTGGCAAGCTTCTGGCGCATGACCAGCATTGCACTCTGCCAAGGCTTCCTTTGTGATTGGGAAGAAGAGGGGTAGCGCCTCTCTCTCGCACATTCCGTTGTATATGTGTTGGTTCACACTCACAAATCCCACAAACACTGTGATGACAGCGAGAGAAGCCAGGCAAAAGAGCGCGAAACCTCTGACCATGTCGCTGAATTTGGGAAGGGCTCCAGAAGAAAATAGAGACTCAGAGAAGTTGTTGATCAAGACCTGAGTTATTAAACCAAAAGCATGTACGCTGGGTGTATGATTAATATGCGTGCTGTTTTTTGAATTGTAGCGGAATGCTGCAAACTCGGGTTTGGTGGATCATTGTTAAACTGTTGAAAATCGTCTAAGGTGGAAGGGCCAAGGTCTCATGTTTCTGGGAAACATCCGGCAATCAAGTATTGAAAAATCATTGGCAGGTCACGGGAGTTCATCAACATCAAACCACGCAAAGTAACCACCTCCCTACAAGTACCTTTCCCACGGCCATTGCATTCCAAGCTCGATGTCTTGATGCAACTGGGTCTTGAGTCTTGAAGGGTTTCGAATCTAGAACAATCATTGTGTTTTCATGTGTCTGAACAACTTAGCTCATCACACTAAGGCAAATCATCAATATGACCAGCTGCAGCGCCACCTTGAAGAAGTTGGACAGGCAAACTGGGAGCCAGGCGCACAAGCTCAGAAACACCAAACTGACTGGGAGAATGCTCAAGATCCATACACTGTTCATGATTCCATACCACACTGCCTTTTGGTGGATACCCATTGGGATTTTCACCAAAGACTTTCTCGTGCAGGGATCAACAAGCGTCTTTTCGTTCTCTTCCTGCACCAATAACCTTGCCGTCTCACCAGTCTCAATTTCCATGAGCCTGGTCTGCAAAGGGCGGTCCTCCCCGTCTGGACACCAGCGCCAATGCCACAAGATCAAACAAATTGCCAGAAAGGCCCAGGCGGCAAAAAAGGACAGGAGAGTTATCGCCTCCTGATGGAGTGACATCCTTGCTAGGCTCAGTGGACTTTGTTGCACTTGAGCCTGAACCAAGAAACTCGCAACAATTCAACCACTTGAAAAAAATCAAATGTTATTTCTGCTCCTTGTTACGAACATGCAGCCCACAAGTTATGAGGGGCTTCAAAAATAGAGTTGAAAAGTAATGTTTTGTACCAACTCCTGGTATCAGCAGGGATGAATCTAAAGCCTATGTTCAAGTCCTGCAAAGCCTTTGCGGGCCTTTCCTCTCTTCAAGTGAAATGACAATGGTGTTTCAAAGTCTTGAAACGGAACGCCAGACCTTCTCAACAGCAAAATCTTATTGCACAAGCGAAGCTGGGCGCCTTGCTTCAAGCTCTCCACGAGCTGAATCTGTGGATATGGCGTGAGTTTGATTTGCTCTTCAGCCCCAAACATTTCAACCAGCCTATTTGGACCACGAATTGAAACTGAGCGATCTCATGCTGTGAAATGAACTGCCTGGAGAACTTGTTCGCTCACACAAAAAACTGCACTGCTGGTCTGTAGATGGTAGCGTTGCTGTTGAAGATGGCTAGGTTCCCATAGAAACAAATTGTGAGCTTACAATGCATAGCAATTGAGATGCTTGGAGCTTCCCTCCAGAGTGTTTGATACCGGCGCGCAGACATACATAGATTCCATGAAGTCGTTTGATGATGTTCCCACTAATAGTGTCAAAAAAATGTAAATAAAGCACTTGGACTTGAATGAAATAATTGGTCAAACGTGGAAATCATAGACTTCTGCTGTTGTCAATATCACGTTCTTGGTGTGCCAAGCACGGTTTTTTGCACGCACACATGTCTGAGCGTGTGCTGTTGACTCCACCTGTAAGAATATTGTCCCAAGTCCCAATGACACAATGGTGATCTAAAGAGCGTCATGTACGGCCTAAACCAAGTCCCAGCTTTGTAAGCAGCCACATTCTCACACAGCAATGGGACCTTTAAGCTGAAACGATGCAGGAGAAACGCTGCCATGCGAAGCGATACTTGCTTGCAAAACACATACTTTAGTTTGTGGGCAAGTTTTTGTTTTTGATGGGTGTTTTCCAGCAATGTAAAATTAGTGTTGTCGCGAGTGGTTCTGAAACCTGACGGCGCCATTGACATCACAATGTCTGTTGACTACCTCAACAAGTTGCTAGAGATGCATAGCATGAGCAACTGTGAGACGACTGGCATACCACAGTTGGGCAGGCAGCCAGGCTGAAAGCAATAATAAAGGCAGAACTTTATGCAATTACTTTGGGCGTCAGTGGCACAGAACACCCATTCCACGGTGAAAAGATTGGACCAAGAACGTCTCGTTTTGGACACGGCATGTGAAGCACCCAAGTCGAATTGATCCTCTACGACATGCAAGACGTGGTCCAAAAAAAATGTCGCTGTAAGCCATGGACGCACTTCTCACCGGCAGAAAATGGTCTTACGAAGAATCAAAACGCTGATCTTCTGAGGTCTCATTTAAATACTGTATGTTGGGCAAGTGCTCAGTATGTAAGAGCTTGAAATACCTGTATGATTCACTGCACTATCATGATCATGTAAAATGTTTGCACAACACATGTACATGCGAATGCGGACCTCTTGTCCATCCTAATCGGCCTTGACGGTGTCGTTTGTGCAAACCATGAGCACAAATAAAACATCTACGCACTCCTCCTTTGGTGGCGGAATTAATGCTGCTCTCTTTTCTCGAACGATTTCCACTCAGTCTGTGACAAAAATCACCACTTTCTGTACTTCCCCGTAGCGTTTTCGCAGCTTCACCCCGTCACCAACTCTGTCGTAGAACTGGATACTGTCTTCAAGTTTCAACAATTCTTCTCGCGCCTGCAATGACGCTCTGGTTCTCAAAGTGTCCATCTTCTCACCGACATCTATGGGTCCATCTGTTGCTTCTCCTTCTCCAGTAGCTCCCACTGCTGCTGCGTCTGTCATATCAACGTCATTGTCTGGAAGTTCTGGTCAGAAGTGAAGGAGCTGTCAGTTGCCTCTCATCCATTGTTCTTGCCACTATTTCTGCGCTCAAACATTCCACTGGAATCTCAACTTCTTCTCCACTATCCAGTAGAACTGTAGCTGTCACGCCGCTCAGGTTATCTTCATTCTCCTCTCCTCGCTGGAGTATCTGCCCTATTTCGTCTCCTCCTCCTCTCTTCTGCGCGATTCATTTCTCGTCTCCTCACGTACCATGAGTCTTGCTGCCATCTTCTCTTGTCCCCACTTTTGATTTCCTTTTTCAAGAAACTTCACGCCTTCTTCTGAAGTCAATTCTTCTTCTTCCACATGGCCGTTCTGTTTCACTATATGGTTCTGCGAAGGCGTTGGCAATAATCATCTCTCATAGAATCGAATTGCCCTTGATCGTTCACATAAGACTTGAACTCGAGTCTGGTTTCCTCGATTTCATCCTTTGCTGAACTCAATCCCAAGATCTGAAATCGCAAAGCTAGTTCATTTCATTTTCTTCTATCCTCTTCTCTAGCTTCTCGCGCGTCTTCCAGATCAGGAATACACCAAATAGAGCTACAGCCATTGCGAAAAGAATCACCCAGAACCATGTTCTTGACAAGCTCTCCTCCTGCAATGTCATCTCAGTTCTGTCTGCCTGCGCCACTGACCCAAGGCCGCTTGCATACATACTCTTCTCGAGCTCTAACTTTTCTTGCGAACCATCAAAGCCTCGGCGTATCTTCATCTCCACGTGTTTCCATGGAGTTGTTTTCAACCAGTAAACAAGGGCTGAAGTTACCTGGTAAACACCACGGACCCCGCCTCTGAGTAAGGTACTTTGCGCGCCTCGCTCAGACGTGGTTTCTAGCTCTACTGCCTCGACACTGTTTCGTGAAAACAGCCTGCCGTGGGAAGCATAAAGGAAGCTACCGCCCTTGGAACACTGCAACTTAT